AGATTAACTATACAACTAATAACAAATATTATTTTGGACTAATTTTCGATGATCATAAAATTTTTTTCTAGTACAGATGATAAAGTGCATTGTTGTAAGTAAAGTAAAAAATAATGTAATAAATACCAAAGAAAGAATTCATCATCGGAATTGACAGCATATACAGAGTTTGTATAATTTATATAATTAACTTTGATGGTGCTTATGTTCCTTTTAATCGCTAAATTGTAATCTGCAAAAACACAAAACCGCCCTGTGTTTTCGCTACACAGAGTATATTATATTGTATCATTGTATAGTAAGTAGAATCGACAGTGAAAAGAAAAAGAAAAGAAAATTTTCCCTTGTAACTTTACCACGAAATATAATTAGCCGTACCACCCTGTAATGCACGTGTAAATGTATACTTGAGGCGTGTACGTGAATGAAAACGTTCGTTGGCGTTGTTGTCACCAGGAACGGCGACGAGTGGCTGAAAAACCGCCGAACGATGAACAAAATCATGCTGGCCCAAAACTCCGTCAACTTCATGATCGACCCTTGCTACGATGCCGCATCGGACCTCGTCGCTAAATGGAAAAAGTACCCCACGGGCCAGGTCGTCCCGGACCTCGAGCACCAGCTCTACCAGTTGTCGATCGAAGGTGAGAGAAAACGTGTGACCTAAGTATTGACCATTTGACCTACCGGTGTGTTTTTAATCGATCGGTACAATCGGCTAAACCTTCCGTTTGAACGGACCCTTACATAGAGAGAACTTGCCGTTCCCGATCGACGAAACAAATAACCGGTTCAAGGGAAGATCGATCATAGATCGGTAACCAGTATCATAAATCGAGGGTGATGTGGTGAATGAAAAAAAAAAAAAAAAATAAAGCAAGCTTGGTTTTTCCGGGCTTAGTGATCCTGGCGACCCTGGTCGGCAAGTCCTGGCCGTCCTACCGATCCCGGATCCTCGGCGAGCTCGACCTCTTCTCCCGCAAGCTCAGCCAGATCTTCGAGTACTCGGTGAAGCTGTCGCGGGTCCGGGCCCGGCTGGCCGAGACCCTGCGGCTGCCCTCGTGGCGCGGCTTCGTCGCAACCACGGACTACTGCTTCGACACCGTGGACCGGCTCGTCCAGGACATGATGGGCCTCGGGGACGCCGAGGACGGCATGCTCGGTCGCATGCTCGCCGACGGCCTCGACGAGCCCATGCTACGCAGAATCGTCGCCGACTTGATCATCGCCGCCGGGGACACGGTAGGTATATATAATATACGTTATACCCCTTATTATATACAAATAATGATCGTCGTGTCGTTACCGATCACCTCGTAGACGGCGTTCGCCCTGCAGTGGCTGCTGTTTTTGCTGGCGAGCAATCCAGGGGCGCAGGACAGGCTGCACGAGGCGGTGCGCGAACTGGACAGGACGGAGGTCCTGAAAGACCCGCTCATCCGGGGCACGATAAAGGAAACGCTGAGGCTTTACCCGATCGCCCCGTTCATCGGCCGCGTCATGCCGCACACCGATTTCCTCGACAGGTTCCTCATCGACCGAGGAGTGAGCGATTTTTTTTTCTCCCCTTGATTGTTTTGTTTGTTTTTACTTTCCATTGGCTGTGTTCCGCAGGAGCTGGTCGCCATGTCGATTTACACGTGCGGTCGCTCGGAGAGTCACTTCCCGAGGGCGCACGAGTTCAGGCCGGAGCGGTGGTTGCGCAACGACAAGGGCGAGTACCTGGAGGTGAGGAATCCCAACGCATCGTTGCCCTTTTCCATGGGCGCCAAGAGCTGCATCGGGAAAAAACTCGCCGAGACTCAGTTGTCGCTCGTCACGGCGGAGGTGAGTACTCCCCCATTGATATGCAATATATCATATATATAATATAATATATACACATCTACCCTATATTTGTACTCGCTTTGTTCACGCTTGTGCCTTTGCCCCTTTTTTCAGCTCCTGAAGAACTTTAAGATTGATTGTCTGAATAAGGAGAACATAGCGATAAAGCTGCGATTGATCACCGCACCGTCCGAGCCACTGCAATTGCAGCTGACAGCCAGGAATTGAGAGCTTTCGAGCTTTTTTTCCTTTTTTTTTTTTTTTTTTTTTTTTTCCCCCAACAGCTATTATCAATGACTGTGTCTCATCTCTTTCAGTACAAATATCCCCTTTATGATTATTACAATCGACAGCGAGTTCATCAGTTAACACGAATATTGCGCATGTTTACGAGAATCACGTCCTTTTGTAAATACGTGTCGTTTTCATTTTTACGAGTACACGGACGGATGTTGCAATTTTTTCATTTAATAACAGTCTGCGGTTTATTTTTACTATTATTTTGTTAATAAAAACGATAATTGTCGAGAGGGTGCTTATGGTTTGTTATTTGTAATTGAATTTTTTATTTTTTTCAGGAAAAGGTTTAATAAGTAATTTTTCCATTTTTTCGATAATAAAATTATTATTTATGGATGTATGGTACAATTTCATGTGTAAATAATGATAATAATAAATAGATTATAAAGATTTTAATTATTATTCAGCATGTGTCGCAGGATTATGTATATTTACTTGTAAAAAAACTGGATGTACGTATGACGTATATTTTGTGTGCTGCGTGAGGAGTGTAACAAAACGAGAGCGGAGCGCGGGCGTGTTCGTTTATCATTCCATATAATTGAGCTTCCTTTCTCACCGCGTGTATAGTAGTTCAGCGTTGGTACAAGCGCATTCGAAGGGGGTGACTGACCTCGTTATTGTTGCCGGTGCATTCGCCTCTATCGTCCCTCCTTCAATCTCAATCCAACGCCAAAGGAGTATACTTACATACTTACTTATTCGTTAATTCAAACTTTTACTTATGCCACATCTCGCGGGCGAGCGTGTGTGTTTTGTGCGTTTAATCGTATATAGTCGCATCGCGTCGTACCTTAATTTTATCTGAAATCTTTCAATCTTTATGATACGAAGATAGATTATTCCGAATTTTGTTTTATTTTTTCCCAGCAATAATTTGTCTCCAAGAACAAAATTACCATGTGCGCAAAGTTAGACGTGCGATTTTTTTTTTTTTTTTTTTTTTTTTTTTTTTTTT